ACCTCTGTGTTTTTAACAATGATTTTCTGTCAATGGTAGGATTCAGGTTATTTTAAATGTTTGCTTTATGATATTCTATAGTGTTTTCCTCTTTGCAATTCCCATATTTCTTTATATTTAGGAGTAAATGTGAGAGACACATTTTTACTTCTGAAAAATAAGCCATTTCATTCCAGGTGAAGAAAACAAATATACTTTTTGTTTCCAAAAACATTCTTCTGAGCACTTTTCAATCCTCTGGCTAACATATGAGCCCCATTAGGAGTAGTCATTACATGAAATCAACCTTGCACCACAGCTTAGCACAGGGTATTGTATGCTATAGATGCTCAATGGATTTGGACTGGCTACTTTTTATTTTTTTCAGTGACTTCTTTCTTTCATTCTTGGCTCTAGTTGAATTACATCCATCTCCAACGAATGTCAGACCATCTTTAAGATACTTTGAGACAGAAATGTTTGTGGGCAGGCATTAAAGCGCAAAACAATTTGAGGTCAAAAAGCTGTAATTTGGCAAAAACAAATAAGCCATTACTAGGAACTCTCTCCAAATACCAGTCAACATGTGTAAGTGGATGTTGAAAGTGTTGCAGCTCCTGTGGGAACAGAAAGCACTTGACTTAGTAGTGGAGAGTTACTATGAGATGGGCAATTGAATAGATATTGAGGTTGCATTACGGCAAAGTGCTCATACCTCTTTGCTACGCTTCCTTTGTATCAAGATGAAAATCTAACAACTTCTAGAACATAAAGCAACAAGTGGAACTAAGTCTTATATTTTATAGTTATACTAAGACTTTCACTTTTTAGTTTAGAGAACTCACTTTATATAATTTTGTAACATCCACTAAGTTTCTGATAAAAATCAACCTCCTTAGCTTCTCTACTCCAGGAATTAGAGAACTCATCACCTGTTTCACCACTGCCCAAGCCCAATACTGTCTAGTGCCCACTAGTGTTCCCAAGTCCAGATACTCCCTTCCAAGAGAAGCCACAGAACATCCATATTGAAGGAAATTCAGACATTCTGTTTGGAAATGGGAACTAGGACACAGAGCAAGGACATTTCTATGTCGGAAGTAAATTTAGTAGTGAGGGGCACTGATTTGAGCCTGGTTGCCTTCAGTCCTTTACAAACCTTCTACATAGTATCTTCATCATATCAAGCAGGTTACTTGGTTTTCTATGCCTTGCTTTTATTATTATGTAAATAACAATACTACATTCTTCTCAAGGAAATTGCTATCAGGGTTATGTGGGTTAATATTTATAGAATGTCTAGAAGATTGCCTGATATATGGTAAAGGCTATGTAATGATAATATTTGCTTAGTTTACAGGTTACAAAAGTCATACATTTAAAAATATACATATGCATATATTTTATATAAATATTCTAAAAGCATGAAAAGGGGGGATTGATGATTATTGGGAAGGAAGTTCTTCGAAGCTCCCCTTTCCATTATATCATTTCCTTTTTCATTTTACAGTTACAATATCCTTTTTCACTTCTTTGTGGCTTCTTATATCCCCTGTCAATTATCTCTGCTACTGGAGATAATTCTTTCTCTCAAATCATAGCCTGGGAGCTAGCCCCCGTTTGTGTATGTTTACAATAGATCCTGCACATTTTTGTTTCTATCTCAACCAGAATCAACACAACCATTATCTTCCTCTTGTAATTACTTACTAAACAGGATGATACATGGAATATCTATCTGTTTATATCTCCATGTAACTTTTATAATAAATTCCTACAACTCTCCTTTTCTGACTGAGTATGGTTTCCTAGAAACGTGGAAGTATTCTGGATTGTATGTTTTGAGAATCTTCATAAAAAGGTAAATTATTTTACATATTTCTTCAAGTGTCATACATATAACTACTAGAGCAACAAGTTTTTTTTAATATATAAAAAGATAATTTTCCTATGTTGGGTATTTTTAAGCCAGGAGAACTTAAAATTCAATTGGCTGTATACATGGATAGTTGTATACATGAATGTAAGAATTTAAACCATATTTTCTAAATCCCTAGGTTACATATTAGGATGATACTTAGCATACCATATATCCACACTCATTATGTCTCAGAATTAAATTAAAATCCACACATGGAATTGGTTGGAAACTATACACAATGTCATGGTGAGAAGACCAAAATGTCCACAGATGGAAGTATATTTTGATTAAAGGTAGCTATGTACTACATAAACAAGAAAGCCAAGCAGAGGGGAGTCTTAAAAAAGTAGAATTTAGAAGGATCACAGAGATAATTGCTGACAGGTTGACAATAACTTCAGACATGCTTTACTGACAGGTGTGCCCCATCTGGGTTCCTCTGAAAAATTCGTGGGAAGCACAGTACTCTCCTTGCTGTGATTATATGATCTTCATCCACCAAACTGCTGGTTAAATCCCCACACAGTTTTCCAGAACAGTTAGAGAATGGACTAGTCAGGACAAATCAAGCCTCCCTGTGCCTAAGGTATATATTTCACTTTAAATGAATACTCTGTGGACACAATTTCAACACAATTTATTTTCCAATATCAGTCAATATTTTCATGTTTGAGTTTCTGGATTTTCAAAACTGAGCCAGATTATGGACTATAATAATCTCATTCAATTAATGTGACTTTATGAATTATTCCCCTAGAGAATCGATGGGTTAATGAGAATCTCTATTCAAATATTTATAAGACAAGGCTTCTCAAAATGTAGACTAGAAACATGTTAGGATATAGGAAAGAGTTATGAAGGTTAAGGTGGAAAAAATGAAGGTTAATGATTCCTAAACTAAGTGTAAGTGACACAAAACAGTGTTTTGTATATTAGGTTTACTTTCTGTTCTCCTGTACCAGCACAGGGGCAGCTGAAGGGCAGAGAGGGGGAAGGGAGTGCCAAACCCTACAGCCTGGTGGGCCGCACTGGTAGAACAACAGACCTCCCAGCACAGCCATGGATACTGTTGAGGGACATCCAAGCACTGTTTCTGTAACATTGAATCCTGAGATGGTGAAAGAATTCTTACAAATTTCTAACATACACACTCTACAAGATACCCACATCACTTCATTTAGAACAATAGCCTGTATTTACCATTGATTTACCTGCTTTGCATTTTGAATTCACTCATTTCTACAGCATGCATTTACAGAACATCTACTAATTCTAGGAGCAGTGCTAGGCAATTGGTCAGGAAACAGGACATGGAAGCTGAGGGAAACTGTGGAGGTCTCTGTGCTTTGAAAGGTTCTAAATCAAACCACATAACATAAAGCAGTTACTAATAGAGGTACACAAGGACGGTGATGTCAACTCCTCCTAACTATAAACCTGGCCATACTGCACCCTACCTTGAGATGTGACAATCCTCTGGGGGGTTTCTTTGTTTGTTTGTTTGTTCAGGGTTTGTTGTTTTGTACTGGACGATTAATGATTTATTTTTGGTTAGATAAGCAATTGTACAGGGGCGATTAACCACTGAGCCACATCCCCAGTCCTTTTTTTTTTTTTTGTATTTTATTTAGAGACAGTGTATCACTAAGTTGCTTGGGGCCTCACTCAATTGCTAAAGCTAGCTTTGAACTTGTGATGCTCCTGCTTCAGCCTTCTGAGTGGATGGGATCACAGGCATGCGAAACCACACCCAGCCAATCCTCTGTTTTAATCTCCTCTTCTTCTTTCTACTCTTCCCCTCCTTCCCCTTCTCTGCCTTTCCCCCCTTCCTTTCTCCTTTCCTTTTATTTATTTGGCATACCATCTGCTTTTTGAGGAATCACCTCCCATGCATGTTTGCCAGGCGTATACCACCGTCAAATAAATGGATTTGAAATTGCTTAAAAGTTCTACAGAAATAAAGTTTTAAAAAATTAATAATTTTATTTTAATAGTATAAAAATTGTACAGTAATAATCACAATTTAAATACCTTTTTTCAATTTTATAGACTATATTTTAACTCTCTTGATTCTTTTATTTATTTACTTGATTGTCTGTTTATTTATTTATTTTTAACTGACTTCTTCAGCACCCAAGCCCGAGGAGGCGGAGAAACATTCTAGGGAGTCCATAACAATTAGGTCCTTCAGAAATACTATTCTAAATTTAAACAAATAATTATATGCTTTGCCCCAAAGAAATTACTTATCTAACAACAAAAAAAAATTATGGAGCTAGGTTGAATCAGGAAACAACTCTCTAATCTGATTCTATCCACATTCTAGCACAAAATGAAATGGACTCTTAAGGAAATGGAAAAGATTAACAGATTTCTCTTATATTCATGTATTGAATACTGTAAATTTATAGAGATATAACTGATTCAGCTGTTTATATAAAAACCAAAGTTCAATAAAATGTCTTTAAATTCATCCCTGCTAGTGTTGCTCTTCATTGCCATAGAAAAACTGATGATTTTCCAGAAAAGTATCTTTATATTTCTTTTTTAATATTACAGACAGCTTTTAAACATGAACTAAAAGTCAAAGATTATTGAGCATGCCAGCTCTTTAGAGAGATGTATCTACAATGGAATTTTCTCTCCCATATTTGAGTTCCATTCAGTTTAACTTGGGTAGATTTGTTGAAATGTGAAATCTAAAGAAAAAGGCACTGATGAGCAAATATGAATGCTATTCTGACAGCCATATTTAAAACTTGCTAGTTCTACATCAAAAAATATGCCACAGCTAGAGAACACTAAGGGATATTGTATTCCTCCCCTGCCCCACCTTGGTAAAGAGGGAAGAAAGCTACTGGATGGCACTGGGATTCCACAAGAGCTCTAAACCTTTTCCAGAGCCCCAAGTCACTGCACTGACACTGTCAAACTTTTAATTTGGGGTTGCTCTCCTCACCCTGAAATAAGACAAAAATCTCTAGAAACCAAATTTTTGACCTTCTCTTTCTTCCCAAGTTCAAACTGTACAACTCTCTCAAAAAATGTTGCTTGCGATAGACATTTATTAGCATTTAAGTTTAGAAAGAAATTCACTCACCATGATAGATTAGATACAGACATTGCAGCAATTTGCAGAGGAGTCGCCTCTTGATTTCAGAATAGGGAATCAATAGGTCCACGTCGGAAGACCGCTGGCACCTCTTCACTTCGCTACTGAAGGATGCACAAACCACCTACTCACAGTTTGAGAGGACCTAAAAAGGAAAGGAAGACCGTGATGTCTCCTGTGTCTGTTCTATATGATTTCTACAGATGTATTTCAGCCAGTTGATATAAGGCACATGAAATCAAACATAATTTTTTTCTGGAAATACAAGACATTTCATAAACCAAAGATAAAATTAAAGCAGCCACATGATGAGATGAATGCCTTACCTTTAAAATCAATTGAACGGTTATTAAAATGTTCATTCCTTGGAGAAGAGAATACAGGGAAACAGTAACATGTGTTTTTGGAGACAACGATTTTTTTCTCCTTAAGATTATGCTCTCTAAATATTTTTATATTTATTATATATTTGTGATAAAAGTATCAGAACAAGGATTCCAATTAATCCATAGAATATACTAAAAAAATAAATCCTTGGCATGAGTTAGGATCACATCTTAGACTTTAACAACAACAAAAAATCCTTAGCTACAAATAAATCTAAGTGAACAGGAATTTATATTCAGTAGTACAGAGAAGGAAAGCCAGAGTGTACTCACATAACTCTCATTTCCATACACATTTACTGAGCATCTACTGTATATAGGGTCCTATAGATTTCAACTAATTTTTCTTACAGTATAAAGAATTCAGTATTATAGTAGCATTTGAATGAGTTCTTGTCCTTCCATTCATGAAACATTTACAGAGCATGTACTATGTGCACTAATGCTACCACAGGTACAGCTTGAACATAAAGATCCATGAAACATGAAAAGGATAATGGCCCCGCTCTCAAAGAATGAGCCATGTAAATATTTTAACAAAATAGAGAATGTGCTCTCCAAAAGGCACAGAGCAGGCGTATGGGAGCATAGAAGAGGGGCTTCCATGCAGTCATAGGGAATTGGGAAGAATCTCTCAAGGAGGATGTCCCAAATCACTACTAACAAAGCTTTGTTACAAGTTTCAAAAATAATCCCAAATCAAAATGGCTTAGAAAAAGGCACTTTATTTATCTCTATACAAATAAATCTCAAGTTCAAGGAGGATACAACCACTCTAAGAACACGAAGGATGTGGCTCCTTCTTTCTTGTCATTTCCCCATTCTCAACATGTGCTTCTTCATGGTCTCAGAGGCTGCTGAGCCCCAGAGAATATATCTGCATTCCAGCCAGCAAATAAAGAAGAAGAAAAAAAAAAAAAAAAAGAAGGACATGTCCTAAAATTTACACATGACATTGCTGCTCACATTTTACTGGGCAGAGCTTACTCACTTGTCCATCTTCCTCAAAGGAAGCTATTATTTTAGGCATCTATATGCCCAACTACAACTAAGGGGTTGACAAACAGTTAGGAAGGTGGGGAGTAGAAACTTGGAGAAAACCAGCAGTATCCGCTACATGTTTGAAACTCAATGACCTTAACCTGCAAAGGGTTATGATTTTGTGTCTACTGCAAACAGGTAGACAAGGGACAGAGGGGAGGTGGAATAAGCCCACTATTTGTTGAAAATTTTACATATTTGATTTATTAATTTTAAATATCAAACTTCAGCTTACTTCGATCATAAGTTCACAAAATATTTATTGTGTCCTCCTATTTACCATGCTCAAACTGAGTACTGATACAAAGATTAATAGAATACAGTATTTACACATTAAAACTCATGGTCTAAACATAGAAGCATTATTTAAAAATGAAATAATGCTTCTATGTTTAGACCATGAGTTTTAATTTCATAGAGTTATGAAAATTGTTGTGTGCATGCTTAAATGCATGCACATTTAAGCTCTAATTCTAACAGATTCTAATTTTGCCAGACCCTTACTACCAGGGTGATTTTGAGAGGCAGTGGGATAAGCAGCAATGAAAGCCCGTGTCCTAAATCATCTGCTTACATTCCAAAAGAGCCTTTCAGTTCTACCCTTTCCTTGGCCAACTGTTAAAGCTTATAGAATTATATACTGTGAACACGGAAACTCCAAATTCTATCACTAAAATAGTTCTGTTCAGTCTTTCACATTCTGTATTGCCATATTTTTATCTAAGAAAAATATGTATGGAACTCATTCTCCTGGATATACTTAATTCTAACTTTAGAGAACTCTGTATCTGATTGTCATTATTTGAATATCTAATCCAATTTCTTTTACTGAATTAAACTTTGGAGTTTTCCCAAGAGTTTGCATCTAGACAAATCATTAAAGAAAATAATAAATAACCAAAACAAAGTCTATGAAATCTGCTATTAGGTTTGTTGCAATATCCACCAAGAGAAAAATTGTTTCCTACATAAACGTAAAATTCCAATATGAGGAAAAGATTTTGTTAGATTTCAATACTTAGAAAACTGTTATTCTGAATTTCTCATTTACTTTTATTCTAGGGTTTTAATGTAACATTCTATTCTTCTTTCCTTGCTTTAACTTATGAACAACTCTGAAGCAAATTTGTGACATTTCATTAAAAACTATGCAAGACCTCTACATAAACCTCTCACTGTTTAAAACCTTTCCCCCCTTTTCTTGCCAACTTTAATTTTTAACCTGTTGTTTTGATAAAGATGCACATATGCATGCAAATATATACTGTTTATACAAATATATATATAATCCACTCTAAGTCTTTTTTTTTTTTTTTGGAATGAGAGAGTATAAAATTGAAGGCCACACTTGCAGATTTGTTTTCTTCTACAGAATGTACAAATAACACATAAAGAAACTGAATCCCAGAATCTTTTTTGTGTTGTTCTTTACAGTAAACCTTGGGTGCCTGTTACATTTATATTTTTATGATGTGATGTTTTTCAAAGCCCTCAGTAGTGGGCTTGTTATTCCTTTAAATGACATTTAAATGATTCATTACAATTTTTTCAAAGAAAATATCTTTAGGATCTTCAGGCAAATTTAAATTTTCTGTTCATTTTGGTGATTCATAATCCTTATACAAATCTCTGACATGAGTTTCCACAGTTGAGTATGAATTTATAGCTTTCAGCCAAAATTCTAACACTCTTATAAACCACCATCTGCCCCTTTGCCACAAGAGAAAAGCAGCTTATTTTCAGGTTGGAGGAAACTTTTCAAAATACATGGAATGAGTTGACTTCCCCCTGAATCCTCAGCCAGCATTGTAAATTATAAATCGAAATAATTGTACTCTTTAGGTCACTATTTTACCACAAAGTTAAAGAAAATAGTATGCAAATTTAATGCAAGACTCCTCTCCATTTAGTATATGCATTAAAATTGTGAATAGCCTTGAACACAACAAAAGATTACAGGGATGACACTTCATCAAAATAGTTATTTTAATCATTTTATTCAGGAATAAGACTTTAGGCTTCAAATCCAGTGAAAAGAATACTATATTAAGTTCATGTAGTTGTAATTACTTTGCATTTGGTAACACAATGTCTAAAATAACTTTGCTAAAGTGATTTTATTTCAGCAAAAGAAGCATTTTCATAATCTAGTCCCATGAAGGAGTTTGTAACATTAAAAAAATCTTAAAATTCCATGAATATTGGTTTAAATAAACTATTACATAATAAACAGGTTTAGCATATCCTATATTTAAGATAATAAACCTATAAAAATTTACTTGGAATAAAAATCAAAATTATGGCATTTGCAGGTAACTGTATGGAGTTGGAGAATACCATGGTAAGCCAAGTAAGCCAATCCCAAAAAACCAAACCAAAGGCAGAATGTTCTCTCTGATAAGTGGATGCTGATCCATAAAGGGGGCAGGGGCCAGGGCATGGGGAAAATGGAGGAACTTTGGGCAAAAGGGAGGAAGAGGAGGGAAGGTGCATGGGGGCAGGAGAGATGGTAGAATGAGATGGATATCATTACCCTAGGTACAAGTATGACTGCCCACATAGTGTGACATTACATCATGTACAACCATAGAAATGTAAAGTTGTGCTGCAATTGTGTACAATGAATCAAATGCATTCTGCTGTCATATATACCTAACTAAAATAAATAAATAAATTTTAAAAAAATCAAAATGTCCAAAGATTTTGACCATAGCGCTCTCTCGCTCTCTCTCTCTCTCTCTCTCTCTCTCTCTCTCTCTCTCTATCTATCTATCTATCTATATATATAACTTTGCTTTGCTTAAAGAAAGGTAGTTTGGATTCAAAGAGTATACAAAAACATGATAGGGCTGGGGTTCTGGCTCAGCAGTAGAGCCTAGCATATTCGAGGTGCTGGGTAAGATCCATAGCATCACATAAAAACAAATAAAATAAAGGTATTGTGTCCAACTAAAAAAATTTTTTAAAAACCCACGACAGCATAATTTCAAACTGGGTTTGATCAATGCTCCACTATATTTGTTTTAGCTGATGTATTATGTGGCTGATAAGGAAATATATATTCAAACTCCATCCAGGGCACCATAAGAGATGATGGGCATAATGTGAGCAATATAATGTATTAGGTAAGGAAAAAATACTTTTATGATAAAGGTTCAATATATATGTTAGCAAAACAAATTATCAAGCAAATATTAGAACATTTTTGAATTTTATAGGGTAGATGCTTTTTATTATCATATTAAATGAAAAGGCTTTTCCTTGCTTCCTGGTTCCTCCATGAACTAACCCTATGGATGGATATTCCTTAACCTAAATTCCCTGTTCAGATTCAACTTTTTGGTTATCATGTTCTTTCCTAAGCCCAGCCTACACTATCAAGTTCAGATTCTTCTCAGGGACTCAATATTTTCTTTCACTTCTCATCTTACTTTTGAAATTTTTCAAGGATCAAAGCAAAGTCCAAGGCATGTAGCCTTCAATCGTGTAGCAAGTAGCCTTTCTGTGATCCACCCTTTGTACATGCATCTCCTTCCTTCTCTGCTTGGCTGCCTTCTGGACACGGATAGCCTTTCTCCAAAACTTTCCAAATCCCCCATCAAGCACAGTCTCCCAAGTTCTTTGATCACAACTTTTTCACAATTCATGAAAACCATTAGAAAGGCTGGTCTAATTCCTTCATGCTGGTCTGTAATCCCTCTAGATTATAAATTCCTTG